TTAACATTTTTAACCTGTAGCTTGCATAATTTAATAGGTTTTTAGTTCTTAACTTTTTACTTATTATTACTATTACGCATTCATTTATCTAAGATCATCTATTTTTTCTATTGTTTTACAGGGCCTCACTGAATATCACTCTTTGTGAAGTGAGCTTCCTGTATAAAGATTATCATTATTAGTATTATTATTATTATTAGTAGTAGTAGTAGTAGTATTATAATGTATGGTACACTCTTCCTAATATCATGAGTGGCAAGAAATTTCACTGTTAATTTATAATTTGACATCTGAAAGTTTGTCTCAGCGCCAAGATGGCGTTACGGTTTTAAAATGTTGTGAATGAAGATGCTAGGGCATTAAAAGACGATTTAGAAAACTTAAAGACAGGAAAGAGATCTAACAGGTTTTTCGTCGAAAATTTAAGATAATTGTGAACTTATTAAGCCCAAATTGATACTGTAAAATTTTCAGTGTGTTGCCTAACTTATATCGCAAGAAATGATCCCCTAATTTCACTCGTCATCTTTTGATTACACTTGAAAGCAGTACAGTAAGTGTTAACGACAGCCATAATCATGGTTTTTGGTGTTAGAAAATTGCTCCATCAACCATGATCGTAGAAGCAAATGTGGTCGCTAGTAGAATCCTTTGTTACACTGGCTCCGTTATCTCATATAAAGACAAAAACCGTTTTCCCAAAAAAAGGATTACTGCTCTGTGGTAACGGTTTTAACTGAGAGCAAGAGAGGAAAAAAAGGACAGAGAAGGCATTCCCTTTACACACCCTATTCCATAGGTAATTCTCTCGAGTTATTTTTAGAATCGGGATAAATTTACCTCGCACGCTGCGTGAATGTTTCGTGGAGGTTTCGCATGACTAAACGCCGTGCAAAACATGTCGGGCGACAGCCAATGAAAGCGTAAAGAGATTGAGAGCATTTCTGAATATTGAAGCGAAAGGAATCGGCGCTCACCTGGGAAAAGTGAATCGCTGGACTTTTTGACAACCAGTGAAATCAGTTTAACTCGAAGTTGTCGTAACCTCTTTTTTGTACAATAAAGCAAGTAGGACGCCAAGTGTTATTTTTGTTGAATAATAAAAGACTAATAAAAGAATAAATATCAAACCAGAAATTGTTCTCTTCAAACTGTAAATTATAAATGATCCTGAGAGAATATTAGGTGTGTTAAGGATTTCCCGGCTGTACTGTTAGCTCTGTACAAGACAGGAAGAGCGATTCTTTTTTAATTTCCGTTTCGCTGACACAGCCTTAGCAGAAGAAATCTCGCTTTAGTCGTTTTCGTCGACAAAACCAACAACAATATCGTTCTCCGCGTCTTCCGCCATTTTTTTCAGCGTCAATTCGTGAAGGACGCGTGGCTCTGAGCGTGGGTCATCGACTCGGAACACATTCGCGCTATGTGATTGGCTGTTGTCTAATCCCCCTCGGGATCTGTGGTCTTAAAAATAACTCGAGACGAATTACCTGTATGGGGGATGCCTTCTCTGTCCCCTTTATCCTCCCTTGCTGAGAGCCAATATCAAGATCTCAAAAGACAAGGTCATTGTAGAAAGAACACTAGCCACTTTCTTTATTCAAAAGAGACAGATGTCAATTTGTTTTGTATGCTTACTATTTCCTTCGCCTTTGAGTAAAATTCCATTCAAAGGAAACTTAAACTTGAAGATAGTGAAATTTAAACAAGCTTTCGCATTAAGGAACGACTTCTGTGACGTCACTCTGTCCTAATGAAATTTGCGAGAAGCTTAAAATGATTGGCCGATAAGTTTGGCATTGTCCAAATTTTTAGACGAGCGAGGCTAGAGGAGAAAAAGTGCCAGATTATTTTTGACCGCTTATAGACTTTTGCGCAATTTTGCTTTTCACAGAGTGACATCAATCATCAATTAACTATTTTCAGTTTTCGATGGTAACATTCCGTAACGGAGAATTTCAGTCGGATGGCGATGGATTTTTAAGTCCCAGGAGAACGGTCAGTGACTATATGAACACCAATTGCATGCCTAGAAAAAAGATGCTTTTTTCAGAAATATACAGTTCATTGCAGGTCGTTGACCGGATTTTTATTATGAGGGCTATGTTTTATTTTGTCTTAGTTTATATAATGTGTGTTCGTTTGTTTACGTCAATCTCAGTTAGATTTTATACATGAAAGTCTCATAGTTTTCCACAACAATTCAAACGACTGAAGGATTTATTAGTAACCGAGTGACATAGAATGAACTGTAGTTTTTACCTGTAGATCGCCTAACACAATCAGAGTCCCGAATCGAGCACAGCGTTACCGTCTTTGGACCTTAAAAAAAAAACAATTCAATCAGATAAATTAGAGAAAACATCAAGAAAGTATCAGAGAGAGCTACTATGACAGAGATTCAAAAGATCTGCATGCTGGGATCGAATCCTCAGAAAGGTGCTTAGTGTATGAACAGAATGATTGACTTGAGTGACTGACGCTCTAGGTGCATGGTTTGCGCCCGGCTGATGCACAAAAAGGACACACGCAAAGACTGCGATAAAAGAGGGTCTGAACACAGGCTACTTTAAAATACTCAAGGTTTGTTGGACAGAGCTGAACAACGTCTGCGCATGTGCAGTTACGGGAGAGGTCTGGGGTCTAAACTAGTATCGTTTGCAAAAGGATTTTCAAAACATCCTCACATTTTGGCGATTTTTAAGGCGGATTCTGAATATTTAAGGCTCCCATCTAAACTAAAGGTAGCTTATTTCATAATTTATTTAATTCTAGTTTCTACCTTTGTAATTTTTCTTCTACTTTTTCCTATGAACAAAAGAAGACGAAAGGAAAGAAGCGTCCCTGCTTTAAATAGTATCGCAGTTGCAAAAGGATTTTCAGAACATCCTCACATTTTCCCGATTTTTAAGGTGGTTTAATTTCCGAATATTCAAGGTTCCCATTTAAACTAAAGGTAGATTATTTCCTACATTATTGAATTCCACCTTCGTAATTTTTCTTCCGTTTTTTGCTATGAACAAAAGAAGATGCACGGACGAAGCCGAAAACAGTTCTTTCATCCGAATGTGTACATTTTCAAGCCTAAACAGAAATGAAAGTACAGACTATCAATATGTTATCAGTTCTAAGAAACCGTCCGGACATCATATCAATGTCAGCATTAAAGGTACATTTTATTTATCTTTGTTTTTCCTTGAATGATCGTCTTTCAGTTATTTCTCTTGTTATATCTCACTTGGTTTCACTATAAGAACTGTAAGAACACAGTTTCGAACTCAATTCTTTCTTCCGAACTTGTTTCCCTTTATGACTCAATCTTAGCTCAGCTCAAAAGAGCTATTATAAATTTTTGTATATGGCAGCAGGCAAAATTAATGTTGAAAAGAGTAAATGGGTAAGTAATACGGTCGATGCGTGCTGGTAAAAGCATTAATGACTTGAAGTTCTCTAAAAAGCTTCATTACAGGGAGAAGCACAGTATGACTCTTTATAAACTTTCATTTATTTTTCTCTTGGAAGTCGAGATCTTCATTCCTTGATTCTTCTGCCTCATTCAAACCTGTCATAAATGGGAAAACTCATAGTTAATAGGAAAACTCACATAGAGCTGAGCCAGCTTGTGATTGTTTCTCAAAACTTCAACAGCTTTAAACTTTAAAAGTTTATTCATTAATAAGATTAAAGGTGCAAATTAAATTTTAAACAAACTTAAACGAATAAATACTGATTCTACAGCTCGACCAGCGCCTCTAAGCCAGCTAGAGCCATATGTACGAAAAAGCTTCTTTGATCGCACTAAAACTTGTAACTAAGTTTACGACTTTCATGACTTCTTGCGTCAGATGGTATCATGGGGCTCAAAGCCGGCTTTCTTGACACCAAGAAACGGTCAACAACTGTTTTCACTCGGCTACATTACAAAGATTTGCTCCTGCTTAACCAGAATAAAGGAATGTTTAAATAAATCGTTTACGTACCATCGAAGAAAAGTCGCCCAAACTCCAGCACATTGCTCTTTTTTAATTTCTCAGTCATCTTTCTGCAAACTTACTGACGATCTGCATCAAAACAGTGAAAAACCTCGCAGGGAAGGTCAAAAACATTGTCCTTGATCCCTACATTACCTAACATTTCTTTCCATGAGTCGCATTTCTAACGTATTCGTAGAATTTCTCCTTCGTTAGCGTTCACAAATATGAGTTTAACCGCTGGTTGAAGATAAAATGGTCTCAGATGCAAGAATTTCACTTTGCACGAGTACTTAGCGCACGGGCTAGACAAGTAAATAAGTGATGTCACGGACATGCGTAGTACGTTTTTCAGCCCTGTCGGTTTGTTGGGAAAAAAGACCCAAAATTTGTGCAAGATTTGATTGGAGCAGGTAAGGAGTTGGAACTAGCCTTGTACTTTAATAATGCATTTGGTTGCTCACTGAAAAGAAAGGTTATTGAATTTTACGGGCCCGAATGATAATTCTTAAAAGAAAACATAAAAAGGCCTTGTTGAAACAAGTAGAAATCTTGACATTTCTTGAAAAGAGCTTTTGCTCCTAGAAGATCTGGTCAGTATGGGCATCGTACCTAGTAGATTTGCTTACTACATATTCTTAGTGCGCACTTCTTGTAAAGTAACGCTGCCCTTTTAAGATTAGATTTGTAGGTTACATCCCCAAACTAGATTGCAATAATATATATACGGAAGGATCGTTGAATTATACAAGGTACAAAGAGAGCGAGCAGAGAGAAAAAACCTAGATTTAAGAATAAAGGCCATAGATTTAGACATTTTAGTGGCTATTAAAGATATATGAGCTAGATTTCCAGGTTACATTGTCATCTAGAAGAACACCAAGAGCCATAGTGTCGACTTACTGAGTAAGACTATTTGTATCATCGTAGTTCATAATGCCGGCAATACTGTGTTTCATTCACATTACTGAGTCATACCTACAAACGGAAGTAAAATGGCTTAGAAAAAACAAATTAAAGAAATTGAAACTATTCTAAACCTAGAAATCCAGGACCACGGCATCCACATTGTTTGATGGTGTAGTTTGAGGAACACTCGAATGCACAGCCGTCCTTTGTGTATCTTTCAACTGCCGCAAGTTTCATTTGACTGCAGTTCGTTTTGTAGGGTGAAGGAAGTCTCTTGATCTAAGAAAAAGGTACAGTAATATATCAGCTATTTCGCTCGTTTTGATTGGTGGTCGTCTTTCCTTTATTAGAGTTAATGATATATAATGATCCACCTCACAGAGTTGTTCAGTATGTCGCACAGAACTGAACAGGTTTCAAACATTATACCAGAAAAGCCCGACTCAGTTAAAATTCGACAAAATCAGTTTAAATTTAATTTTGCGAAATGCTGAACAACGAATATTACCACACAAAAATAATACCAAAGAGAATTTTTTCCTTTTCGGCCGTTTCGGTCTGAAAAAGGATATAGATGTTGCCTACTGTGGTCTGGAATCAGGTACGGTTTTCGAGGGAGCTACGGGAGTGTGCGAACGTATTTGTCGTTTCCATTCCAAATAAATAAGAAAGAGTAATATGTCTAAACTAAGTAATGATGACATAATTTCTGCCTATAGATTTTAAAGGCCTGGTCTGAAAACGGGTGTAAAAAATTACATTTTTTGGTCTGAAATAGGGCGAGGATTTAGAGAACCGGGAGGTACAGCCCCATCAAGAATTCCAACGAGTACTCTCGGGTCATGATCAGTAACTCACCTTTGTAAGCTTGATCAAGGCAGACGCATGGGTGCCAGGTAAGACATTGAAGCCGTCATAGCGATTGATAAATGTATTTTGTTCGTGCACAATCACTTTCAAACCATTAGAGAATTCGTTCAATGTGCTCTCGTTGGTTTGAACATCGAGTATAATGCTAAGACCAGAATCAGCACCTTCATAAGTTGTATGATGCAATGGAATGTCATTTAAACCCGAGTTAAAAGTGAAGCAGAGCCCTTGTTGAGTCAGGTGCGGAACAAAGTCCTTATCAGAACATTTGATTTTTGATTTGAAACGGCAGTACAGGACCAACATGCTACGCATTTCATGGCCATATCTGGTAAGAAATTCCTCTTCATTGTACAAACGTTCTGATGACCGATTCAGAACATTTATTATTTTCTGTTGAGTTGACCCATTACAGCCTTTTACCAAAGCCGGTCCATACCACCCATAGGCACACAAAAGAGCCTGGCCACAGGTGAGGTTTCCGCGAACACTGCGAGTTTCACTGCATCCACTAATGTTTAATCCCATCTGATAAAACTTCTCATCATCATCAGCCACATCGATCTTAGATCGCATAAACCTGTTCAAATTACAAATGGTTACGGCAGGGAAGGTCAAGCCATTAGTCGGTGTTTCCAGTGAAATTACTGTCTTGATCGGCAAAGAGAAAAACTTTCTGAAGCTGATGACGGAAAGAAATATGAACAAGCTTGCAGCGGCGAAAAGAAACAGAAGCCAAATAGCTCGCCTCAAAGGAGAATGGTTTCTATGGACGACGTGTCTAAGTCCGTGGAGAGTTGTACTGGAAGCAAATTCTGTCCATTCCTGGGAGTCGCGATTTTCTGATTTCATTTTTTCGTTCGCGGAATTGGAGCCATCATCGATGGGCTCACAACCACTTTCCTTACCATACCTGAAAGTCAAACAATCAGAACAGATTAAATAGCAGCTATAAATAAATACGTTAAATAATTCAGTCGTTATCATGGTTATCTCAGTACGGGGTGTTTTCTTGTTTCTCATATCAATTTTTCAAGATTGTATTTGTACTGAAAATGATATTTCTGAGACTCATAGGGGTAAACGGAATCTGTTTGACTCTTTCAGAACTAGATATATATACAACTATTTTGTTTTTAGTAAACTATTTTTACTCCTGATAGCTGAAACCACATTTTTATCGATTTATAACCAAAAAGTTAAATCTATCCGTAAGAATCGCCTATGGGTTTTAACATCGTCTGTACTTAAGAGGAGATAACCAATCAACTTAAGAAAGGATTCAATAAATGTTAAAGAAAGATTGGACATCGTCCAAGGTTTCGGATAAAAAAAGAACATCACTTTTGCTGTTAACTTTTTTTTCGAAGCCAGAGAAAAATTTCGAATCAGCCACGTTTCAGTCAATTTTCTTCCTATCTAAAAAGAAGCCTACCGATATCAGTCTATAAAATGCAAAACATGAAGTGCAAGGTTTATGCAACACCCGTTTTGCGATCTGCTAAGAAAAAAAAAAGTAAAAAAGAAACGCGAACGAATTATTCGCCACTATCAGTAAAAGGAACAAACTTGTTGACTACATGTACATGTGCAGTTATGGTTTTTGGTTGAAATGTTAATCTTTTCTGTTAAGTAGCTTCGTGAAGATGCGTTAGCAAATTAACAAATAAAAAATTAAAACGTTGCCCGCAACAGTGATGACATCTCTCAGAACCTACGCTAACTCAGAACAAAGACTGCTGTCACTTTTGAAATGTCTGCAACAGTCCGATTAAGTAACTGTTTATAATCGATCACTTTACCTGAATTTTGCATAAAGCCGCCCGAGCTTACTGATAAGACACTAGTGGATAGACTTCTCGACTGTCCCAGAAACATTCAAGGCAAAGTCTGACTGCGTAGGCGATTACTGTTTGATTTAAATAGTTTACATAACTTAGTATGTCGCCCGAAAGTTACGATTGTTAGAAAGTCAGCGAGGAAGCAGTTCGTTAAGGTTCACAGTCGGTTGCTTGTCTGTTCAACTACCAAGACAGCTGCTTCATGATCTTGCCAAAAAAAACCTGTTTATTTAATTATGAGCAATTTCATCAATATTTGGGTTGATTTCAGTCTCATGATAATGATGCATTACCAAAGAGAAAAAACCTAAGAACAGAATATAAGAAGAAATATCGTTGTGTAATGTTATTGGATCACTTCAATGGAAAATAAAATAAAATTATTCGTTGCTTTCCTCAAAATACTGAGTTTGGTAATCCGTTATCCGATTGGTTTTTTATCATATCTCTTTATGATCATAAATATTTGTGCAATGTATAAGTAAAATAAGGATAGAAACACATATAAACAGTGTGAAATTAATTAAGTCCATGCCAAGTTTATTCAATTAATTTGGTTGAATTTGGCGTCAAGATGTAGTCCTCTATACTGTATTGACGTCTAGTTTAATTAGTAGCCTGATATAGTTTTTGTGTATCCTTAGGATCAGTCAACCTTTCGAAAAATGTGACCCCACCCAAACAGACTGCAAAGAAAAAAGTGAGAGTTTCGTTGTACAATGATTCTTTTCCATATATTTCAAGGCGCGTAGGAGGGGGGGCTCTAGGGGTTCGAACGGACTCCCTTTCGGCTCAATGATGGAGGAGTAAAACGCAACTTGTTAATTTTCAGTTTTTAGCAAATAGTGGGGGGATGGAAAACAAACTTTAAGTGTTTTAGCTCAGTTTAAATTACTCTGGGCGAGAGTAGGCTCTCCTCACTGCTATCATACATATCAAGGACGATATGCCTATAGATCTGGACGAAGTTGTCAATTTATTTGAAGGCCTCCACCCGAAGATGATGCAATTGCAAAGTTTGCTTTACGAAGCGGAATGGTCCTGTAGTGAGTTGATAATTAAGTAGCCCATGTTGTGGCAACAGCATATCCTAGTGACCTAGTATTATATGTAGATAATTAAAATAATCCCACCATTGAAGATATTTCCTTAACAGGTGTTCCGGATTTGAGAAATGGAGTCTTGAAAGACGAAAGGCGGGGAATACTATTTTTTGGGACCTTGTACTGTGATACGCGTTTAATACATATTGACGTTTGACGCTGCTCTCAGTGCAAATGCAGCGGAGCCGAAGAACTGGGGGACTTAAGCTTTTGCTCCGAGATACCTTGCAGTAACGTCGAGTTTTGTAAAACATTTCGTATACTTAGCCGGTATGTATCACTATACATGAATGTTCCAAGTGAAACGGAAATATTGTTGTTGTTACTAACCTTAGCCCTATCAGTAACTTCATTTCCAGTTCTCTGCTTTGTTCCCATTTTTCATTTCCCCCCTCCCCATGCTCGTTCTTCCTCCCCCATTCCCCGTTTAAGTAACATCAATGTTTGAAAGCTCTTATATCTGATCAAAATTAGCCAGTTTCAGGCTTTCAGGTAGTAGAACGCAGGAGAAAAAATATACAGGGAGAAGAAAAAAAACAACAATGGAAGAACCGGTAGAGCGCTCGCTTCTTTTTACACTCGCAATCCACAATCTGAAAGCGGAAACTAAGATTGACAGTTTATTTCGAATTGATGACGTCACAAAGGCACCAGCATTAGCTAATAGACCACTTTCGATGTATTAAGATTTAGCGTACTCCTAAAATGTCTTCTTGTTGCGGTAAAGGTCGAAATTTTGATTTCAATGTAAGCAACAAGACTGGAAAAAAGCTCCAGCAAACAGTAAAAACAAAAGGTTGTTGTCCGCTATTTTGAATTTGCAATTGCTCTTTTAAGACCGGGCCGGGTTTTTGACCTAATTGAATTCCAAAATACCCAGTCTTTATCGTCTACAAAATCGCAAATCCTTCAGATAAAAAAATCCATTGAAATTCACAAAAAAATTTTAAAAAAATATCGACCTTTTTTTTATAGCGAGGGCCCCTTTTTGGTGAATAACCGCTGATAAGTTGTAGTGTAGACGACTCTGATGAAAAGCCGCTGATTTGTTGTGCTCAGCAGATGGTGCTTTAGACACTGCTGTAGCATTAAAGCGGACTGAGCCCTCTCTTGGTCGATAGGAATACAACAAAAAACGTTTCGTCAGCATATTGCCGTGAAGTATTGGCAAAATGTCGGGTGAATGCTCAAATTACTCTAAAATTTTCGAATTTGTCGATTTTTCCCCTAAAATTCCCGAGATTTTCCAAAATTCTTTTTGATGAGTAAAATTCCAAAAAAAAAAATTCTTTCCGGAATTATGTAG